GCCCTAGGCGAGAGCTCGACCGCCTCAGGACATAGGTTCTTTGCACGTGCAGGTTTAGCAGGTCGTTCGTTTGAGAGCTTAGTTGGAGTCACGATTTTTCCCAGGCACATGATCAAAAGGAACATGACCAAGGCCCACAGCAGTTGCTTCACAGAGTCGGCAACCATCAGCGCAAGTGTAGAGAGCTGGCCTCGAAACAGCCGGACGACACGCAGTATCTTCACTGCCTCAATCTTGTCTGCATCTAGAATCATCTTCAGTACAGTAGAGGTTGAAAGCCAGTTCATTATGTGCCTGCATGCCAGACCTACACCCATCGACACCCCCGCACCTAATTGGCATCCTGCTAACATTGGCCCTAGCTTTGTGTGATGGATTCAGGATTTCTGTAAGTCGCCTTTTTGGCCGGTACGGGAAGGTTTTCGAGCAATCCTTGCCTTGATCGTCGAAAAGGGCGTCTTGGCATTTCCTGCGAAGAGCAATATCAGTTCCACGATGCTGACGCCGACCAAGCACAAGTCACAGATGTTCCAGAGGTGATCGTCGTTGCAGAAGAAGGGGCCAGCACCAACGACACGAAGCCGCACCAATACTTCCAGAATGAACCAAAGCGCAAAGACTATGCTGAATGTCGTTAAGAGCGTTGAGATTTGCAGGTTGCTGGACATGAACTGGACCTCCCAGCCCAGCAAGACCGAGTTGGCCTCACAGTGTAGTTCTGCAAGCGAAAGTCCGAGCGTGATGAAAGGCACACCGAGGTCAGAGCAAAGATCATGAAAGCAGCGACAGCTTCAAATAGGAGCCTTGGACAACCGGCATATGGACATTCAAGACTGGAGAATTAAGCAAGAATGGCTAGGGGCAAGGAAGGAAGTGCGAGGAAAGAACAAATGCTGAGGCCTGGCTGTGCTTTAACCTTCGTGGCAGGTTCCGATCGCCAGTGATACCAGCGAACGGCGGTACACGGTCCTGTCTAGCTTTCCGTAGCTGCTCGCCGGACTAAAGCTAGATAAAGCTTAAGCTTACTACAGAACTGGCAGGCTTCGCTGCGCAGTTTTACCGGGCCCTTTACAGTCAAATGATGTCTGACCCTGCAAGCAGCATGCCACATACACGAGCGCACAGATTCCTTGCGTGCGAGGCCGAATTCAGGCCACGGACATGGGATCATGGGCCCTGCAACTGCAGCAAGCTCCTGAACTAAGGGCTACATAGCCGCTAGCCTTCCTGTGCCACAGAGGAGCCAGCGCACTTCGAAAGCTGAGCCGTTTCGATTCTTCTCAGTGCTATCCTCCTCTTTCGATGTCCTTCCCAAGGCCACCTTGGTCCATGAAACTGTCGACGACTACGAGCGCGCTCCGGCCAAGCCGAGGTGCCTTGAGGAATTCCTCGACCTTTCTGAGAGTGGAAGACTCCTTGAAGCTTTCCAGCTTCGCCTTTGCCACCTCCATTCGCCGCTCCAGGCCGCCTCCGTCGCCGTTGTGTTGGTGAGCAGTGAGGACCGCCATGACTGCTTCCTCGTCCCCACTTGTCATGGCACCTTAGAGTCTTAGAAGCCGCCCCTCGCTGGCACAGGACATGTCTTTTGAACAAAGCCTGTTTATGGCCAGGGAGCGACTCTTTTCTCGCAGGGAACTTGCAGTCGCTGCAGTTTTCCGAGTTTCAGTGGAAACCACGGCCATGGTGGACCTCCGTGTGTACAGCGGTCCCAGCCCCTGAGTGGTGGATCTCCAAACTTCCGGCTCATATGTCGGTGTCTCGAGGTCGTTCTGGGACATGCCGGGGCATTCCTGCAGCTGCAGGACAAGGCGAGGCAGCACAGCTCGCCAGACGTCTAAGATCACTGATTCAACAAAAAGACAAAAGCCGCACCATGCTAGGCATTGCACGGCATCCACAGGCTCTTGCAGGAAATCCTCTGCTGCAGCGCTGTTGTCCGAAGGCTTCGGCTTCTTGCCCTTCCGCTTCTTCTTCATGGATCTGAGTTTAGCCTCTTCGGGAGTTCTGCAAAAAGTATCGGATCCCTGGCTTTTTCCTCCTGTCCTTTACCTACGCATATACCCTGGGTAACAGTCCAAGACAGCAGGGCTGACGGATTCCAAGCACAAGTCTGGACAGGATAAGAAGCCCAGGAGAGCCGGAGCTGTGCAAACCACAGCTTGTCATCTGGCAGCTGACAGGTGTTGACAACAGTAAACTCAGACTGAGACATACAACACACACAAGGCTTCTCTCCAATGGTCCCTGCATGCCCAAAGCCAAAACATGCCAAAACCGAAACCCCCTACAACTCAAACCCACTTTGGTCGAAGGCCCCGCCAGCTCATGCTCCAACCTGCGCGAAACCTCCACCTCGAGCTCCTGCGGGAGGCTTCGGCTTGTGGCTGCAGCCCTCTGGCACGGTTTTGGCTATCTGGATGGGTATGACCGTAAGAACAGCTTGCGGCTTTCAGCTCAAACTTCTGCATGGTGACCAACAACTCAAGTACGCAAGCCCAGGGTGTTGCCGAAGAGTAAGAGAGGACAGCCTGAAGACAATAGGGAGCCAAATCTCCCTGAAACAGTGGAGCTTAGCTGTAGGCTAGGGAACGGTTTCCCCTCGCATGGAGGATACCACTACTCCTCCGAATGTCTGTCAGCAAGGCAAGAGATCTCGTGCTGAAGCTCTGCACAGCGGCTCTGCACCTCCAGGCAACACTGAAACTCTGGAGATGCGAAGTGGCGCAGGCGCTACGAGCAGTGCCTGCTCCAGCTGCTCTTTGAAGATCAACACACTCTCAGCCGACAGGCGTGCTTCCGGAACCTCGGAAATGCCTCAGCTGAAATTTGTTTTTACAGGAAATATTAGGGCGCAATGCTACACGCTTCAGGCATGCAGCCCACTCGTTTGCGGGGTACGCGCTCATCATGACTATCGCCATCTGAGTTGGCCATGAACCGAGCCGCAATTACGTCTTTTGGGGTAAGAGCTAAAGCTGGTGCTGGCAGAATCGACAAGAAAGGACAGCAGCTGGTAGCTTAAGTATAATCTCTCCCTCTAGATGTACGCTCTGGGGTTACCCAGCAGCCAACTGAACACTCGAGCCACTGCATCACATCAACGAATCAACGAATCGCTCATGCACATGGTCATGCAAATGCTGCGGTAGTGGCCTGCTTTGGCCATCCTTGCAGGGCAAACAGCCTTTTCCATCACGGTCAAGCAAGTTTAGGTGAAAGAGTGCAGTTTCAGTCGAGCTCCGACAAGTGCTCAAGCCGGGGCTTGGCAGCTTGAAGTCGGAAGTTTTCCGCATGATCCTGCCTCGGGTTGGCCCTCCGTACCGGAGATCCAAGCAAAAAGCAAGCGGCTTCTGGTGTCGTGCAGTCTGATTCGTGGTGGGACATCCAATCACGGTACCAGTGGGCAAGCTGCACTAGTGCAAAGCGCAGAAGCCGGCACACCTAATGCACAAGCCGTCAATGAACACGAACCTAGTAATCGCTGTTTGGAGTTGGAACTGTTGAAAACGTGCTCCCGATGCCTCATACCAAGTAGATATGGTAATAATTGCAGGTCGTGCAGCCACTCGGATTCGACTTCACGGGTCGGCTAAGTGGCTAAGGGCGGGACCCTGGAACTACAAGGAGTTTGCAAGGGCTTGAAAGAAGCATGATTGAGCTCTCCGAAACTATATAGTCACTTGGTGGCACCTGCTAACTACTTGTTTCACCCGGCATCGATGTCGAATATGAGCAGAAGAAAGTGAAATCAGCTTGCCCCTTGGCCGACAACGGGATGAAGCACCCTATGGCAACCTGGGGAGGGCTTAGGAGCCTCACCCTTGAAAATTTGGCAGCTTACTATGGTTGTCACAGGCTGATCAGCAGGCGTTGACATTGATCACCCAACTTCCTTGTGCTGGCTAAACCCGAGCACCGAGGCTCAGTGCGTTCGCACACGTCACCCGGCAACACACGGCTCGCTGTGCGTCCCAGCTGCTGGGGTGAAGTTTCATGCAGCGACCAGACACGACGGAGCGGTTCTTCGCCTTAGGGAAGAGTGTGTCCTGTGCCATACATCTGTTGATTACAATAATGATGGGTCCAGCTCCGTATGCTCTGAACTGTAAGCTGAACGTCTTAAAGGTCCGCACCTGCCCGACATGTGGTCTAGGTCTGTAACGTCCACTCAGTCTAAGTCTACCCGTAGCATCCCACGCAACATCTGCACAAATGCAGGATCAATGCCTGGTCATGTCGACATCCGAACAGCATCAAAAAGCAAGCTACTGTATTCATTGAAGGAATCGAACTCCATCCTGCCATGCCTTACACCTACCGTATGCTCGAGCGACCCTGAGCAGTAAAACTGACTTGTGCCCAGATGCAACTGCAAGAATCACATTTCTCCGCGTCTAACCTGACAACGAGTTCTGCAGACATGGCCACAACGCGCACAATAGAAACATGAAAAGCAGCGTGCCTTGTGGCTCGATCCACTTCCAGACACATACGAACACACAAACACGAGCACTGACAGCAGCATGTAGGCTTGTCGACTTGTCGATTGAGACATCCCAACACTCGGCGTTGACCCGAGCTACGCGTACTGAGGACCGTTTGCAACGACAACAGCCGGTGACTGCGCAAAGGTGCAAACAAGATCGATGAATCAAGAAAGGATTTGGCGGCAGGCCGAACTGTGACGGTGCAGTCGAACATGAGCCAAAATGTGGCTCCAACACACGAGATTTTGCCTGCTCTTATCTTCAGGGAAGCGATTCTGTAGGCGGTGCAGCTCCAGGGCTCTCGCTGGGCGAATTCACGACGACACCATTGCGCATATGTTCCATCCATCCATGATATTATACATATATATATATGTATATATATATACATACATACATACATACATGCATATGTGTGTGTGCGCTTCTTCTTATTTCTTCTCCTTCCGTCGCCGCAGAAGGAGTCCTGCTGGCAGCTCGGAGAGGGGCCGGCATCTCTGTGGATGCGCACTGTTAGTAGTACCCGACACTCGCAAAGAGAGCCACCATGCCATCTAAGCACAACAGACAGAGTGTACATGTGATGGAAGGAGTACCTGTAAAGAGAATAGAAGTGAAGAGTACAGTAGTTGCTGATGCTGTTCTGGCCACCCGGCGTGATGCAATGTCCCTTGCTGTGACTCGCGCACCAGGCAAGGGCTGGTCTGCGCACCGTGTATAAGACCATGTGCCAGGGTCGCAACCACGGAAACGCAACATACAACTCAGAGCACTTCCACTTCCCTCCCCACGAGACGCGGACTTGCAACCAGAATAAGCCTCCACTGCAACCTGCAGGAGCAGTCAGCAGGCGCCGCAGCCAAAGGGAAGAGGAGCGGTTCGGATCCCTACGCCCCAGAGCATTCCGGCTACACATCCGCCTGCTCGTGCACAACAGAATTCACCGAAGACTGGCTGCACATAGAGCTCTCCGAGTTGCTTGACAGGTATCTCCTGGAGACAGGCTTTTCGGAACGCTTGAAACAGCCAGAGTGTTTTGCAGGCAAGCTGCTCCACTGCTGGACCCCACGGGGTGTCCTCACCACGCAACAGAAACATCGAGTCAAACAGTAGGGCTTTGTGAAGACCGAGCTTCATGGGTTGGAGTCCTTGTAAGGAGGGTTGGCAAAAAGCTCTTCCATCGCCTGCTGCTCTGTGTATGTCTTCTCCATCCTGCATCAGTCTCGAACACAGAAGAAGCAATAAGATCGGAAAGGGCAGCGAACGGCAGGGGAAAAAAGGGCACAGGGCGGAGCAGGGCAGGGAGGCAGGGAGGGATGCACCAATGCAAAACTGGTCGGGTCAAGTTCCAATGGTGGCAAACGAACTTGACCTCCTGCACTCCGCTGTAAGCAAGATCGAGCAGGCATCACGGCCAGCAGCACGACGACGAAGAAAGGCACAAAGGCACATCATGTACTTGCATTGAAAGCACCACGAAGCATCAAGAACTAACCTAGCACCTAGGCGGTCATAGCATCGTGGTCACCACCTCAAGGAACCCCGCACTGCAGCCACTACAACCACCACAACCGCCACCACCATCACAGGCAAGGATCATCGCAGACTACTCATGACGATATACGTTTCCGAAGCACGATGTTTGCCGCCGGATTCTGCCAGGTTGCTCGCGATTGAACATCCGTCTCTTCTCACTTGCATAGGATGTCTTTTGCTGTCGCTGTTGTTTCTTCCTTTCCTCGGCCGGCCAATAAGATGAGAGGTACGTTGCAAGCCGCACGATTTTGGAGTCCGCACATCAAACTCTTCGATTTTGGTCAAGCTGCCTTGCGCGCCTGGCAGGGCGGCCAAATGTCCCGACGAAACAATCTCCTACATCTTCCTACTCGTTCGAGGATTGCGCACCAATCGAGCGTCATGTGTCTGGAAGAAAAAATGGACCAAATCTACGAGAGGATGCACATGCGGCCCTCTGCCTGGTAGGATGCCTCGGGCTGACCGGAAGCTGAAACGCGGGCTCTTTCCAAAATGGATGCGGTGGTATCTTACAACAACTCAACCATTCGGAATACCGGAAAGCAATTGACATGCTGGCTCTGCTGATTGCCAAGACACGAGCTTCTCTTCCAACGTGGGTGCTTTCACAGCTGCGCATATCTGCTCTTGCTCGCCGCTGGACATAACCATGTAGTATTCGCCAGATGAACCAAAGGAGTTGCTCTCGCGTTGGGCCAGCGGTGCAGGTGGGGCTGCGTATCCGCCGAGGTCTCTAATGATGACACTTGTCGCCATAGCTTGCGGCTAGATGATGCTGGTGAAACAAGACGTGGATCCTTCAGCAGCAAGAAAGTTGGGCTGGATCGGCTCGTGCAACGGTACCATCATGCCACATGATCGCTCGTTCATGTATGCCAACAGTGCTTGTAATGCTTTACTGACTCGGGCAACTGTGCCAAATGCCAGCTCTCACTCGGTCGAGGTTCGCTCGCCAAGAGGAGCAGCAAAGTTGGCACCTTGCACGCTAGCTACATGCAGCTACATGACCTGTAAGCCAAGAAAGTGTGAACAGGTGAACGCGGTTCGCTCCAGAGTGCTGTTATATCTACTGTTTGCTGATAACCCATAAAACCAGGTTGGAACCAAAGCGAAATGGCACAGAGTGGCAGTCTAGAGCCACTTCTTTTTTCGTCTTATGCTGGCAATGATCCTGGATACAGAATCGTTCTTAAAACCGGGAACTACCATGCAGACCTGCCATGTTGACAGCAACTGCAGCAGTACACCAGTGCCATTACAGCTCGCTTTGGCTGTCAGACAGCAAAATTCCTACAACTTGCGGCAATGCTTGCCCGTCCTGCAATCCGGCTCTCCGAATCGGCAAGAATCCAAGCGGTGGGTCAAAGGCAAATCGTCCATCCAAACGGATACCCAGCGTGCCGGCAAAACCCCATGCGGGCAGCCACGCTGCGCTGGCATCGATGGAGACCTGTTCTGTGGCGACTCCATCGACTGTGAATTCTAGCAGCCCATCCTTAGCTTCGGCCAATGCTTCGTGTCGGCAGCAAGACGTTTCGGTCGCCAAGCGGCATCCAAGTTCAGCAGCACACCGAGAATTGCATGTGCCGGGACAGTCCTAGCATAACAGCCATGAACAAGGGGAACAAGTCGAGCAAACCAACACGTGAGCATTGCCAAGGAATCACGAGCAGCAGTACGACCCCGTGTCCTTTGCTGCACCAGTTTGCCTCCCTGCCATATGCCTTCGGCAGCGAAGCCCCAACTGGCCTCTTTACCTGTCACAGTTGCATTGTCAGTCACATCTGGTCCTTGTTGCTGAAGACTTTCTTGCACCTTCTCGGCGCCTTTCCATGTGCTACGTAGCCCGCCTCCAGGCTGATGGGTCAGGCCTGACTCCGGCTGCAGTACACCTGCACCACCCGCGATCTGTCAGTGACAAGCAGCTAGCCGGATCGCGATGCAGATGCACAGTGCACCTATCCGATAGCTCGACGTCCGTGGCCCAATGACAGTCTCGAAATACCACTTGCCCGCAGTGCACGCACACAGCGAACTAACCACCAGACACTGCTCGTCTGCTGTGGCTTCGAAGGTGCCAGTGCCAACTCCTGCAAAACACAGGGCAAAGGGGGCATCTTCCGACCGAGCGCCCCGGAGGTTTGCACGACTCTGGCTGGAGCGTTTCGTCTAGGACTCTGTGGCCTAAAACTTCGAGTTCCGGAAACTTACGTAGCCTGTCGGCTAGAAAAATTCGCGTGTTGCTTCGTTCGCGGGTTTTTGCTGGTGGCTTTTTCCAGCCAGCCATGTGCAGTGGCCCCGAGGTCGGCCCAGGCCGCACAATTTAGCAGAGCCGTGCCCACTGACAGTCTGAGTCTGATCGCTTCAGCATGTCCCCAACACAGGTCTTCAAAAGCCCCTCCGCGCCACCGCCTTCCTGATCACTATTTGCTGGTTCCTTTCGATTTTCTGACATGGCGCAAAATAAAGCCAGCATGTGTTGCAGCATGTCCCCTCTTGACAGGATGAAGCTCACACACCTCGACGGCGGCTAAGTCTGGAAGCATCGTGTTGACACAGCAGTCTTTAACACCCAGGGTTTCATGTTGGGTCTCAGCAAGTGCAGGGTGTACACACGAGCTGTGATCGTCGGTATTCGGCAGGCCCCGGCTTTATCCCCTATGCCCTTCAACTTGTTTGTTCGTGCCCCTAGTCGAGGAAAACCAGGACCTGTGCAGCCATGACATAACACATGTTTATGGATCAACACCCAGACACACCGGAAGAGCTGCCGACATAAACCCGAACATGAACAGTCGCAGGGCGGCACCACCCTCCTCGAACTTGTATGGCCTCACCGACAGTAGGCTCCAGAACCCCTCCAGCTTGCGACTCCACTGGAATCAAAAAGGGAGGGATTGTCTTCGGTGCCCAGCCACAAACACCTTGAACGGAAATCCAATGCATGGTAGCGCGATGCACAAACTTAGCCGTGCATCCTCACATGTCCAAAAGCTTCAAGGGGCATGCAGCTGCCGACAGCCAGACGTCCTAATTACAACAAGTTAGCCTCTGGCTGCCAACCAAGGATCCTTGACAGCAACAACAGCCATTCGGGGCATCGACCAATCCTGACTTGTTCGATGAGGGCAGGCGTGTCCCGGGGCGGCAAGAGGGGAAGCAGCGGAAGTGCTATGTTTCTCTATGGTGAGCCTGGTAAGGATTTCAGGTAGGACAGCCTGGAATGGAGATCCTGTCGCCGGTCCTGCTTTGATTAGCTCGTGGACATTCAGCATGGGGAACTGTAGCCACTGCAGCCGCATCAAGGCCACGCGCAGAGTGCAAACCGCAGACAAGGCGACTAGAAGCATCGCGGCGAGGCCAAGCCGCAGGTCTACGTACTGACACCTTCAGGCGTGTCTTTTCGAAACTCACTCAATCAAGCTTTCTATCCTTTAAAAAGTAATCCCGAGGTGCGGCTTTCCTTCAGCTGTTGGATGTCTTATCCGCTTCGGAAGCCACCTGTTGAGGCCAAGGCGCACGGCGATGGAAAAGTTGTGGCTGCCATGCAATATCATAGGCAGCATCGGGGTTCAGATGAAGGACGGGCAGGAGCGTTGCTTTAACGAAAACCGTTGCTCCGAGAGGAAGGCACCATGCAGTAGGCCATAAATCAAGTGGTTTGGCACGGCCGTCCCCGCTCGCAGCAAAGCTGTAGCAAGGCTGCCTGTGCCCACATACAAGACATTCTCCAATGCCGCGAAGCCCAGACCTGCGCAGCCACCATAACAACACAGAGCCGTAGGGTCGGCAACAAACGGAAACCAGAGGATGCGACGAACGCAGACATACTTCAGAAGTTCCTCGAGAAAAGCCGTCATCAGGTACGCCTGGATAGCACGCTTGCCGAGGCAATCCACCTCAACCTCCGAAGCCAAAGATGCTTCTGATACTTCTTCGCAGTCGCTAACCCAATCTCGCCATCCAAGTGGGAAGTAGATGATCAAAATTATGCTAATCAGGGGCATCAGCCAAGCAATTGCTTCGAAGAACGAGATTGCCATTTGGGACAGCTTTACGGATTTCTGGAAGTAGACTTGAACGAAAGATCCAAACACCAGCACTGGCACAAAACTAAGCAGTGCAAGGCCAAGGGGTGGCAGCAGCACATAGGGCAGCACGCACAGAGCCGTGCAGAATGCCAGGGTGACAAAAATGGAGACACCCCAGCCCAAACAGGAGGTGGTGAAGAAGCTCGGCGGCAAAGGCTCCACCTGGATGCCGGAGAGCGGGAACACCTCGCCGACTTCATACCATGTGGTAAGGGCAGTACCAGGTTCCCAGTCCTCGAGCGGAGTGCGCACCCAAAGACGTTGGCCAAATGACTTCAGTTCCACGAGGGAGTTGGGCGGCACGCCGGGGCAGGCCGTCAGCGTGTGGGTGAGGCCGTGCTGACCGAGCTGTCGATCGCTGAGCTCGGGCCCTACCCAAATCCTCTCTGGCGATGGATGCACTGAGCCTACCAGGGCCTTTTCATTTCCATCTCTCATTCAGTCAGTCGGTCTTGTGCCGGGGGAGCGGATCGGAATGCTTGCTGCCTGATGGGCCTGAGCTATCCAGATCAACCCTCCTGATTATCGTCAAGCGCGCCCTGTCCCTATAGATTAGCCAACCCAGAAGGCTGATCAAGCAAGAAGTGGCCCGCTGAACAACTTTTTCGGCATGTCTCGTTGTTGCCTCCTGTGTGTGCGTGTGTGCGCGCGCGTGTGTGTGTGTGTGTTGGCGTGTGTGTGTGTGTGTGCGCGTGCATGCACCTTCTGTACCAAAGGATCTAGGACATTACATGCAGGGGGACAGGAGCTGACTTGCC